TCCGCTGCAGCCAGAGCCAGGGCCGCACTGACTGGGAGAGACTCAACCCCAGGACCCGAAACCCCATGGGGAGCAGGGAGCCCCGGGCCCAGCCGTAGATGTGTCTTTTTCTCACCTGAGGTGCGCTGGCTACTTTCCTGCCCCTTCAGTCCTGGGTGGTTACTGTAACAGGAATGAGTCTTAGTCCACAAACTCTTCATGAATCTGTAACTGAACTCAATCTCCCTGATGAGCCGAGTACTAGCAGGTGGTAGAAATTTAATCTCAGTCCGTTTGGGGTTCCCCACCCTGCTTTGTTGGGATTGAGCCTAAACTCTGGGGAGGCTGGCGGAGAGCCAAGGTGTGGGGTTTGGAATCTGATCCTCAAGGATCCTCATGGGCACCGTCTGCCAGGGCGGCCTGGTCTGGGCGATACAGGGGAAAAGTCAGAGAACAGACCTGGAGCCTGGCTGCCTGGGGCCACATTCCAGCCGGGCCTTTTACTGGGTACGTGATTTAACCTCTTACAGTCTCGGTTTCCTCCCCTGTAACGTGGAGATAAGAGAAGGGTGCCTTAGGGCCTTGTTGTGAGCACTGGATGAGTTAATGCATCTGAAGTGCTTTAGAACACGTTCTTGTGTGGGATCAATATTTATTCCTCTGTAGATGAGGCTTTGACAGGGTTACCCTGTCCCCAGTGGTCTGGCCCCTCTGGGTTCCCAGGACACCCGGTCCACCTCCAGGCCATCCTTGAGCACACAGGACCTCAAAGCGGTGCCAGCATCAAGCTGCACCCCGAGAGCTTGGGGAAGGCTGTCTCAGACCCCGATGGCCTGGACACCATCGGCCCCCACTCCACACTGAGCACTTGACCTACAAGGGGGCAGAGCACAGACTCCTGCTGGGCCCCCAGCCCCAGGAGTCTTCATTCCCCTCTGCCCCTCTCTGGGAGCTGAGGGCCTCGCCCTGTTATGGGGAGAAGGGGAGACCTTGGTTCTTGTCTTCAATCAAGAGACAAAGTGTGGAAAAGAAAGCAAGAAGTTGTTGATCACAGCAAAAATATACTTAGGACAGTGAAACAAGGAGGGGCACAGAAGACCAACAAGAGAGCCTAGGCTGGGCTCCTTGGCTCACTGGGAAGTCAGAGAAAAGGGGGCCTTGGAGGCAGGTTCAGGGGATTAGCCCAGGACGAGCTGCCACTACCCATTGCTCCCCTAGTTGCAAGTCTCATGGGGTCCCTTAGAGGTTAGGGGATAGGTGCCTGTGTGGGGAAGGGAATGACATGGGTGTGCTCCCTAGAGGGTGAGGGCATTGGGACAGTCAGGGGTTTTAAGGGCTGGGCATTTAGGGGAGGTCTTAGGGGTGGATAAATAGAATATTCTTCAGTTTTAGGCTGCTAGACCAAAATGAGATTTATTCTCTTAATTTGTCTGCCCTTGGGTATGGTTGGCAAATGGCACTAATTGGATTTCTGTTATCTGTCTCCATGAATTGGGTGATTTAAGCTATTGACCCTCAGGTTGGGGAGAAAAAATACAAACCATTTATGCTCAAGTGTCCTTGGTTTAGGGGAGATAGGATTTATTAAGTGGCCACAAAATGTTGCTTATCTGTCTCAGTTTCCCTATTCCACTTGTCCTGGAATTTTCCTAGCTTCTTACCATGCTATAACACCCCCACATCCTCATGCCTCATCCCTTCAATATCTCCAGGGCCCTGGCATTTGTGACTCACAAACTAAAATGACTCTTTTGTCCTGTGGGGTCTGCTGTGTCATTTCTTCCACCAAATAGCTGGGAAGGATCCTTTGACTGGTGGCATGGGATGGGTCAGGGGCAGAAGGAAATGTTGGGGATTGGGGCTCCTTTAAGATGCAAATGTTTTTAAAAATTTTTAAAAATATATCTTTATTGATTTCAGAGAGAGGAAGGAAGAGGGGGAGAGACAGAGAAACATCTATGATGAGAGAGTCATTGATCGGCTCCCTCCTACAGGCCCCCTGCTGGGGATCGAGCAGGCAACCAGGGCATTGCCCTGACTGGGAATCGAACCCTGATCTCCTGGATTCTAGGCTGAGGCTTAACCGCTGAGCCACGCCCAGCCAGGCAAGATGCAAATGTTTTCTCCCCATGCTGAGCTGTTACCTTGCTGGGGACTCAGCTCTGCGCCAGTGTCTGGCCACAGGAATGGCAGCAATGGTGGTGGCCAGCTCTGTGCTGGACCCTGACACTGCAAAAGGACCTATAAAATTCTCTAGGTCAAAGGCAGGAGCGCCTGAGAATCCCACTGTCAGTGTGTCAGGAACAGTCCCCTCAGCGCACTCAATTAGTGCAGCCAACCTTGGCCCCCAGGTGCACCGGGCACCCTGAGCCTCCTGCCAGCTGCTGGTACTGGCCTTGAGAAGTGCTTCCTGCTCACCAGCCACTCAGGCTGTTTCTGATTACACAGCAGGACTCACCCGGCAGAAAGAGGACCAGCTTTACACACCCTCTGGAGCCAGTTTCCATAGAGACCCTCTGCTCTTCCTTTCCAGCCACACTGTCCTCTCACTGGATCCCAAACACACCAAGCTCCCAGCCACCCCAGGGCCTTTGCACTTGCTGTTGCTTCTGTCCAGACAGCTCTTCCCCAGATAGCCACATGGCTGGCTCCTCACCTCCGCCAGGTCTTTGATCAGTTGTTATCTTACTAGTGAGGCCTTCCCTGATCACCCTGTTTTAAATTGTTAACCCACCTTCCCTGGTTTCTCGTTTTCTGAGGCATTTAGCCCCGCTGATCCTATACATTGTCTCTTTTCCTACTCCATGAGGGCAGGGGCTTTGTCTGTCTTGCTCAGTGCTTTCTGAAGAAAGGACAGGATGAAAGAACCCTCATGGGAGCTGTCTCCCTTCTCCCTATACACAAGCAATAAAGCCCAGAGAGGTTAGATGACTTGTCCAAGGCCACAGAGCTATTAAGACTCAGAATCTCGCCCAGACGGTGTGGCTCAGCGGTTGAGCATCGACCTAGGATCCAGGAGACTGAGATTCGATTCCCGGTCAGGGCACATGCCCGGGTTGCGGGCTCAATCCCCAGCAGGGGGCGTGCAGCAGGCAGCCGATCAGTGACTCTCTCATCATTGATGTTTCTCTCTCTCCCTCTCTCTGAAATCAATAAAAAAGACTAGGAATCTCTCCTGGTTAATTTGTAGTGAACTCGTTCCCCAAACACATCCTGCTCTTTCCAGCGTTGCCCCTATGAGCTCCCACTGCGCTGTCTGCCTCACAACTGCACTCACCAGTCAGCCTCACAATCAGCTGCTTGTGTCCTAGGCCTTGAACAACCCCAGGGCCGGGGCTGCCTCCCCATCTCAGCGTCTGCAGTGTGCACTGGCTGTGGGGAAGGGAGTGGCAGAAGGAAAACAGTAGCAAAGGCCTGTCTGCCTTGCAGGCTGTGAGGCTCAGCGGGGGTCGCAGCCCCATCCCAGCTGTCCTGTGTGCCCTCCACAGTATCTGTTTGTTCCTGAGAGCTCCAGGGAAGGAGGAAGGGCTCGGTGACTGATTACCAGACCCAGGAATGAATGGAGGAGTGGCTCTCCTCGACCTCTCTCTAGATTATACATTCCTACGGGCGGTATGTGGTGATTTCTAGCAGCCCCCTCAGTCCCTGCCTCCGGGTTTGTAAGAGGTGGTCAGCTCCATCTCAAGCTCAGTGCTGGATTTGCGGACGAGCTGTTCAATCGATCTTTCCTGCCCAAACCCCCTTTGTGCCCCACGGCCCCCACCCCCAGTGGCTGGCGGGGGCCCACATCAGAAGGAGAGGAAGGTGAGGGGCTGCAAACAGACCTTCCTGGCTCAGTCCTCAGCTCCCCCAGAGCAGCAATGAGCAATTCAGGCGCCCGCTGGCTGACAGCTGAGATGGGGCTGCAACCCCGGCTGAGCCTCTCAGCCTGCATCTCACATAATGAGCCTCTGGAATCAGGGAAGTGATTAGGAGCCCCGCTGGGGAGGGACCACCTACAGGCTCCGGAGCCTTCGCTGCTTCTCCTCACGGCTCCCTGGAGGTCGGGCTCGCCAGGAAGCCGCATTTAGATGAGAAAGGGGGAACACACAGGCTCCACAAGCAGGGCGGGGCTTGAGGTTGCTGAGATGGAGGTGGGGACAGTGGAGGGTGACTCTAGCGTAAGAGGAATTCTAGCCTTTACCCAGGGGCCGGGATAGAGCAGCGCCTGGAGGGACCCGAGCAAAGTCCCATCTGCCGGCCTGGATGTGTTTACTGAGTTCCTGTTTTAAAGCCAAGGCTGGAGAGAACTCGGGTTTCATAGTCAAGCTGCCTCCTCTGCAGGTGAGACCACCAGGGTGGAGAGAGGGAAGGTGGGCTGCTTGGGTCATCAGGCTGAGAGGGGCTCAGCTGGGCCCAGGTCTTGGCTCGTGTCCTGATGTTGTCTGTTAGCCCACCCTGCCATCCTACCCTGGTTAGAGCCAGCCCGGAATCCCGCCGGCTCTTTCTTTGTCTGAAGCACTGAGACATTTGGGGCCCAGCCCCTCATGGGTGCTGGGGTTGGGTTGGGGTGACCAGTGGGAGCCCAGTGGCTAGTTACTGTGCTGGGCATTCCACATCCTCTCACTTACTCCCTAGACTGTCCCTAGAAGGTGGTGGGATCTGTGTTCTTATTTGACAGATGAGGCAACTATGGTTCAGAGAGGCTGAGTCACGTGCCCAAGGTCATACAGCTAGAGGGCAGTGGAGCTGTGATCAGACAGCTTGCTGGGCTCAGGACGACACCCAGAACAGTGGAAGCAGCTGTCTCTACTGATTTGGAAGAACTTTGGGAACAAGAGCCAGGAAGAGACAGAAAATTACATAAGATCCTTAGTCATAGACTCTGCAGTTTATTTATTTATTTTAAATATGGTTTTATTGATTTTTAGAGAGAGAGAGGAAGAGGGAGAGAGAGAAACATCAATGATGAGAGAGTCATTGATCGGCTGCCTCCTGCACGCCCACTACTGGGGATTGAGCCTAAAACCTGGGCATGTGTCCTGACTGGGAGTTGAACCGTGATCTCTAGGTTCATAGGTTGACACTCAACCACTGAGCCACACTGGCTAGGCCAGACTCTGCAGTTTAGCAAGATCCCAGATATTGGTTCACATGTACTTACAGTTTGACCAGGGCACACCTGAGCTCCAGCCCTGGTCTGAGTGCAGGTGGGTTTGCGGGACAGACAGACACAGATGACGATTGGGAAGTGGGCCGCGTGGTTCCCAATGTAGGCAAGGGCTGTCCTCAGTTCCTCATGATAAATGCAAGCCATTTCCAGAAAATGTCACCAAGAAAAGTAATGGCTTTGCCGAGCCTGCAAACATGCCCACCTAGATGTTGTGCATAAAGTAGATTTAAAGGCAATGAGACAGACAGCAAACAGGCATTTTTCATACTCCACAGGAGGCAGCCAGAGCCCCTGAGATGCAGGCAGGCTCCAACCCTCTGTGAGGCGGAGCTGATTTAAGAAAAAGCAGCTCAGGGTGGCTGCAAGCAAGTGAAAAAGCTCCAGAGGGGGTCCTGAGATGACAGAGCTGCTGAGACAGGAGGCTCGACCTGGGACCCATCATCGCACCTGCCCAGGTGACCTGGGCTTCTCCTTCTTTCCAGGGAGACCGGCATTGATGAGTTCCAGGAGGAGATGGCCGCAGATGCTAAGGCAGAATAAAAAAAGGCTTTACCTTCACAACAGCAGAGAGGACTTCCCTCCCCACCTCCCTGCTGGCTTCTTGGTGCTTGAGCTTCTACCAGACTAGCCTCTCCATTCCTTCGGTAATAGCTGGTGCTTAATATTTCGTGAAAATTTATGTGTGCCCTGCTCTGGGCTCCGTACCTTGTAGGTACATTTTTCATTTAATCCTTTCAGTGCTTTCATGAGGTAGGTGCTACTATCTTAGATTTTCACCGATATTTAGGTATTTACTAAATTCTACTAGGTATTGACTATTCTACAGATGGACCACTGAGACTAGAAACTAAGCAACTTTTCAAGAGTCAGCTGCAAATGTGGCATTGAAGAGCCCAGACCTCCTGGTCCAGGCCCTCCCCACACCTCAGGATTTTAACACTATCATGTGCCATAGGGACAGGTGAGCTAACATATATTGGGTGTCGATTAAATGCTGGCACTCCCCTCGTGTCTCTGTTACTCCCAGTGTGGTCCTCAACCAGCAGCTTCACTTGCAAGCTTGTTGTGCAAGAATCTCAGCTTCACCCAGATTTACAAACTGCACTTTTAACAAGGTCCCCCAGGATCCGCATGCACATTATTGTTTGAGAAACGCCTGGTTATAAGTGCTTTTTCCCATAATGCTTCAAACCCCCCTCACATGAGGTGCATGGCTGCTTTCAGATCCTCTCTGGGGAGCTGGGTGTTAGGAACCCTGTGGGAGTCACCAGGTTCTAGAGGGACACCAGGGACTGAGAAAGAGAAAGAAATGTGTACCTCCGTGGCTGTTGCCATCGTAAACAGGTCAGCTTGGAAATCAGCCTTCCCGAGGTGAAGTTCTGTCTGCATTTTTCCCTGAGGATCCTGGGGAGCAGACAGCTCCTGCGGGGACCAGCAAGAAAGAGCTTTAAGAAAGCATTCCTGAGTCTCACCTGCCCTGGGCCTTGGCAGCCTTCCCTGGGTGAGGGTGACAGTCTGCCTGCCACCCTTGCAGGTGCACTTTAAGGACTGTCAGGATGGGAAATGATTTCACAAGCCTCAGTGCAATCCTTATTCTCAGGTAGGCCAAGTGGTGCCCCCTCTGCCCTGCCAAAGCCTCACTGCAAGACCGCTCCCAGTGACCCTGCCCCTCCCATTGGCCCTCGGCTCCTCACTCTAACCTGGGGGCACCTGGGGGCCCACTGAGCTGTCTTGATACCAGTACCAGAACAGAGTCCTGCCAATTTATGATCCGGCCCTTTCTCACAAACATGGTACTTTCAAGGCCTTTGATGACCATGCCTTATGTCATTTGTGGTCCCTGAATCTCAGACTGGATTCCAAAGGGATCTGAGAGCTCAGTGTTACCTATGTTTACAAGCTCAGGGCCATCTGGCTGGTGTGGCTCAGTGGTTGAGCATCGACCTAGGATCCAGGAGATCAAGGTTCCATTCCTGGTCAGGGCACATGTCTGGCTTTTGGGCTCGATCCCCAGCAGGGTGCATGCAGGAGGCAGCCAATTAAGGACTCTCATCATTGATGCTTCTCTCTCCCTCTCCCTACCTATCTCTGAAATCAATAAATAACAGCTCCACTATTTATTATCTACATGTTCCTGGGTGAATTTCCTCACCTCTCTGTGACTCAGTTTCCTCATTTGCAAAGTAGGAATAATAGTCCTTACTTTACGGGATTACTGGGACTATTAAATAAAATACTAGTTAAATACTCCGTGAGTGCCAACATTTAGTTGACACCCAATATATGTTAGGTAACCTGTCACCTATGGAACCTGATACTTTTCAAAGTCCTGGCCTGTGCTGGTCCTCACGGTAACCCTGAGAGGTCTTTGTGGGCAGGAGTGGAAGCTTGGCTTCCTGCTGTGTTTTCTTAAGTTCCTGAAAGCTGGGACTCTGGAGGGACCAGGTGCATGACTGAGACAGAGCAGGTGAACATGGAGGGTCTGATAGGCCCGGGGCAGGCGATGGTCCCAGCACAGATGGCTCTGAAACAAGCTGACCTTACCACCTGCCGCGACCTTGCTGGGCCAACTCTGGTTTCCCCCCTGGCGGGCTGAGATGCAGGCCATCACGCATCGGCCCTGCCAACCTGGAGAAGCAGAGGGTGTGTGTTGGGGGAGGTCCCAGAGCTACTGCTTAGGCCCCTCATTTCACACCTGCCCACACGCAGAGCCTTGTGGAAGGAGGACCTCCAGGTTCAGCATTATTCCTTTGCCAAGACATCCACAGGGGCCCAGGGGGCTGCTTCAGACCACACTTACAGAGGCCCCTGGGAAGGTCTTTCATTACAGCAGTGAATTTGATGACTGCTTGGTTTTAAGAGCGGTTTGTGTTTCACTGGCTACGGTGAATTGCTGTAAGTTAGCTATTAAGCAATTCATCAGCTTTTAAACCTCAGTATGATGTTTGTGGTCAAATACGACTGTCCTCATAGACCGAGTGACTCCCAACCTTTCCCCCTCAGACACACAGGGTGGATGGTGTTTACTCACATGCTCGGTCCACTCCCAGGGGAAGAGACCCCTCAGATTGGCAGAAATTTTAAAGAACAGCAGTATGAAGTGTTGGGAAGCACTTTTATCCATTGTGAGGAAGACTATAAGCTGATAAAAACCGAATACATGACAATTGGGCAGTGCCTGAAGAAATGGAACATGGAATTTCAGTTGTATTCCTTATAAACCTGCAATTCCAGCTCTCCGTATGTGCCTAGTCAGGTTCAGCATGTACACAGGAAACACTCTGCAGATACTCACCACAAAATGTTGGTAATCACACAAAGCTGGAAACAGCTCAGGTGTCCAGTGACAGGAGATTGGTTCAGCCAAGAATAGTATAGTCAGAAAATGGACCATTTCACAGCACTTAAAAGGAAATGAATTAAGCCCTGGCCCATGTGGCTCGGTTGGCTAGAGTGTCCTTCCATGAACCAAACGGTCTCGGGTTCACTTCCCGGTCAGGGTGCATACCTGGGTTGCAGGTTTGATCCCCAGGATCCAGGGTCAGGGTGTACACGGATAGCCGATCAATGTTTTTCTCTCTCTTCCCTTCCTCTCTCTCTCTCTCGTCAATGAAGAACATATCCTTGGGTGAGGTTTTTAAAAAAAGGAATTAAGTAAAGCAACATGCATTCATTGGTTGCTTCTTTTATGTGCCCTGACCAGGGATCGAACCCGCAACCTTGGTGTATCAGGACAATGCTCTAACCAACTGAGCTACCTGGCCAGGGCTGTAGTAAAGCTCTGTCTTTGCAGATTCCAGCAATTTGTGGAGCAAACACAGAGACATTTTAGCCAAACATCCAAAGGTCATATATGTAACAAGATCATTAAAGTGAAAATAATAAAAACCCAGTTATGATGCCCTTCTGGCTGACGGATTGTGTCAGCTCCAGTGAGACTTAAATCCGGCCTCTTGAGTCCACAGTATGGGCCCTGTGGTCCATGAGAACTGAGAGTTTGCAGGGACTGTAGGGAGACAGCGAGACTGTACGGGGACAATGTCTAAGTCTCAAAGTCTGTGTCACCTTGAGCAGGAGGCTTGACTGTCTGTGCCTCATTTTCCCACCCTCATAGGTGCACCCCCACCCGGCCCAGTTCCTACAATGAAATGGCAGCTCTCATCCACTCTCTCTCACCACTAACTCTGCCGAATCTGGTTTTCATTCCAGTCATCTTTCAGGGCCTCCGAGCAAGTTCCGGCGCCCTGTTTCTCTCAACAAAGATAACTACTTCCACCTGCCTCTGTAATTCGTTCCTGGGACAAGGAAAGCCCCCTGACAGGGCAGGACTGCCTTGCATGTGTTGGGTAAGTGCTTGAAATATGGGCCTCTTCCCTCCCCCATTCCCCCCACCTCTCCCAGGGCTGGGGGCTGAATGCTCCCAGTGCCACATGGTGGGGGGTGCTCTCCTTGTGCCTCTCGCTGCCTCTGATGAGCAATGAAGGACTGGGGTCTAGACAGTGTTGGGCTGTTTCCTGCTCCGTCTCCCACTCAGGCCATGGAAGTCAGCACCCACTCACTGCACAGAGGCCCAGAGATGGGAACGTTCTCCATGTCCCACAGCAGCTGATGGTAGACTGGGACGCAAGTCCCCGAGGTCTCAATCCTGGTCCAGCAAGTCCGATCAAGGGAGGCAGAAGAGAATGGGCTGTGGGCTCAGGCCCACCTGGCTCACTGTGTGTCCTCTGTATCCTCACTCCTGAAGTGGAGACAGTAAGAACCACCTCGAGGCATCCAACTGGAGAGAAGCCCAGGAATTGAGGTGGAGCCTCACTTGTGAAAGGAGAGAGTCTGAATCAGAACTGCCCTGGGGGTCACAAGGAAGTTATCCCTCAGTAATGCTGGCTTTTAAAAAAACTGTCCTGTGCCCGGCCGGGCATGGCTCAGGGGTTGAGCATCAACCTAGGATCCGAGAGATCGGGGTTTGGTTCCCGGTCAGGGCACATGCCCGGGTTGCGGGCTCGATCCCCAGTCAGGGGGCGAGCAGGAGGCAGCCGATCAATGACTCTCTCATCATTGATGTTTCTATCTATCTCTCCCTCTCCTTTCCTCTCTCTGAAATCAATAAAGATATATTTACAAAACAAAACAAAACAAAACAAAACAAAACAAAACAAAACAAAACAAAACACTATCCTGCGATTGCCCTGGCCAGTTTGGCTTAGTGGTTAGAGCGTCGGCCTGAGGACTGAAGGGTCCCAGGTTCGATTCCAACCAAGGGCACATACCTCGGTTGCAGGCTCGACCCCTGGCCCCAGTCAGGGCTCGTGCGAGAGAAACCAGAGTTTCTCTCTGTCTCCCTCTCTCTCCCTTCCACTCTCTCTGAAAAGCAATGGGGAAAAAATATCCTCAGGTAAGGATTAAAAAAAACCCCAAAACTATCCTGTGATGGGTAAAGATAAAAAAATCCTGATAACAGAGATTACAGGGTGTGGGGAAGCAGGAGCCTCCAGTGGTGTGGGCTCTGCGGGGATGGGGACAGTTTGACAAAATTCATCAAAATGAGCGATGTGCACCCTTTGCGGCCAGCAATGACACCAGCTGTGGGCTGTGGCCACTCTGGGTCCACCCTGGGTCCAATCAGCGGGGCCTGTGGATAAAACAAGCCTCACCCACTTGGGTTCACTTGGGATGGGTTGGAGGTCTGGGTGATACAACCTGATGAGCATTTTCAGTACCTTGCGGGGAAGAGTTTGGTGCCACTAGAGTTGAGGGCAGGGCTGGGGAGCAGCTCCTGGCCACAAGGGCTACCTTCAGTGCCGGGCTTGGAGTCCGGTGGATGTCACATTCATTGCAGCTCTGCCACCTACTAGCTGTTGGGTCTAATAGAGGTCAGGTTGCTTCTTGGAGCTCCTAGTCACTGAAGACGACACCACCTGCCATGAGGAAGGATGCCAGGGTTAAATGAAGTCCACCCAGTGCGCGGTCAGTAACCGGCCCAGGTGTTCTCTTCTCCCCTTTATCTATTATTGCTCTTCCTGTCTTGGTCCCTTCACCTCTTCCCTGGCCCTTTGCGGAGAGGAGAGTTAGCATGACAGTCCATCTTGAATTTGAGAGTTAGCATAACTCTGCTCTCCATACCCTTTGTAGTGGAAGCCAACACAGCCTACATCACACCTCAGCAGCCTGTAGGAGCAAACTTCAGACCCACCTGAACCCAGGAGGCAATTGCTCACATCTTCCCCTGAAGCTCCAGCCTGTCTGCCAGGCAGCCCTCCCTCCCTCTCTCCCCCTTTCCTCCCCCGTGGTCTATGCCTGGTACCCAAGTTGACTTGATCCCATCTTAGCCCCCTGGATTTCCCCCACTTCCTGCCTTGGCAGCCCCAGCCACCTCTCAGTGTGGTTTTGGTTTAGCTCACACCTCTAGGTCTGGCCTCCTTTCCCTGCCTGTGCAACCTCCCCGACCACACACCTTAGCAGAGGAGGGGAAAATTCAGACACTGTCTCCACTACTTATATCAACAGCAGTGTGCTTTTTCAAAAACCTTTTATTTTAGAATAATTATAGACTCACGGAAAGTTGCAAAAGTAATACAGAGAGGTTCTTTGTACCCAGCTTCCTCCTGGGGTGACATTTTACATAACAGCCGCACACTTTCCAAATGTGTGTTTGGTGCTTGTAAACATATGGGCTGGGCTCTAGTGTAAAGAGATTTGGAGGTTTGAACCCTGTCATTGCAAACCTTCTGCCCAGCTCCCTGAAAGGTCTGGTCCTCCCGTTTTCCAGGACCTTGTTCACTCATTGCTTCTGCCCAGAAAGAATTCCTCATCAGCCAGGGACTCAGGCAAGTCTAAGCCACGTGGAATTTACTGGGGGGGAAAATTGGGCTGCAACCACATTGACAGGAAGGCTGGGGAACAGGGCCAGAGCCTAGACAAGGACCAGGGCATCCAGAACCTTTGGCCAGCCCCGTGGGGTGCTGCCCTGATAAGGAACCCGCTGTTTGTTTTTTAAAAGTATGTTTTCATTGATTTTTTAGAGATAGAGAGGGTGAGGGAGAGAGGGAAACACTGATGAGAGAACCACAGATTGGCTGCCTCTTGCACGCCCCCTACTGGGGATAGAGCCAACAACCTCAGCACGTGCCCTGACCTGGAATTGAACCAGCGACCTCTCTGTGCATGAGACAACCTTCAACCAGCTGAACCACACTGGCCAGGGCCCCAGTGCTTTTTGTTTGTTTGTTTCATTTTCCTGTCCTTTGTCATCTCTTTTTGAAGCTTTCCCTCATCCGGCCACCAGGATGGCTTTCTCTTCCTCTGTCCCCCACCAACAGCCCTTCCCAGCTGGACTGTTAGTTTCCTGGGGGCCAAGTTCTCAGGTCTGTATCGTCCATAATAGTCACTCACCATAGGAAACCAAGAAGGCTTGTAAGTAAATCACTGCTGGTGCCAGAGGCAGTTCATTTATTTTACCAAATTCTTTGATGTTCATTCATCACCAAAATGAGGGGGAAACCGCCTCCTTTCATTTTTTTTGCTCCCCCGCTTAATGGAAGTGTTAGAGCAGCCAGTGAGTGAATTTGGCTTTTAAAATCACTGACAAAGCTTTTAAAGAGCCCATGAACTTGCAAATAACAGCCACAGAAGGTTGCAATTAGCATGAAGTGGGGGGAAAAAAAAGTCACTCGACCTCTAGGTGCCCTTCTTTAAAAAGTGGGATCACAGGAGTGGCCATCTGCCTGCTCACAGAGTATGTGTCAGGGATGAGACCCGGGGTGCAAGGTGCTTGGAGCACTTGGGATGTGAGGAGGAAAAGCTCTTTGAATACAAGCTGCTATAACAAGGATGGTTCTGGCCAAAGATCCCGTTATATCTAAACGCCCTCTGGTGAGCAAACTGTACATAATGCGTTTCGAATTAATTGGGCTCCCAGCCTCTCAGGAGCCTGGGAGTTGCCAATTGCAGTGGTTTTGCTTTTGCTATGACACCATGAACATACTGTCCTCTCGGGGATGCCCCACCATCTTTTTGGTCCTTCTTGGCTGTCCCAGCGCAGGGACTTGGTTCCCTTACAGAAGTGGGACACTCCACATTGATGGCTGCTCTGGCTGAATGTGCCTTAGGACAGGGGCGTGAGCTGCGCTGGCAGAGTCCAGGGTGGTAAGAAATGGGGGGAGGAAGTAGGAATCACAGTGGGGACGTGTTTCTGAACACTGGCTCGGCCCCTTCCTGTCACTGGAAATCAGCATTTTCAGTGCTGCTGAGCACAGTTTGGGGAACATCATCGTCTCTGTCCTTAGATCTCTGGAGGGCAGGTAAATGGACACAGGAGGTGACTTATTCTGTTTGCTCTCAGAAAGGAAAGCTGGGACTGGTTTCAACTCAACAGAAAACTTCTTCCTGGTCAGACTGTCCCATGTTGAACAGGCACCTCTGGAAGTCGGGAGAGGCCTGTCACCAGACACTGAACCTGTGCTGGTCAGGGTCTTTGTTGTCGACATCTGAATCTACTCCAGTTAGTGGTTTTTTATTTAAAATTTTATTTTAATCCTCACCTGAGTGAAGATGTTTTTTTCCATTGATTTTTAGAGAGAGTGGATGGGGGGGGG